AAGTTTGGTTGATATTTTATTGTAGTCATGACATTAAGGAGTCCATAAGGCTTTCTGGAATCAAATTCGGGTAAATGCAACTCTCGAAATTGATCTTGGCATGGACAGGATATTGGTGGAAAACTATATGCACAGTGGAAGTATACCAGAATCATACAACTTACATGAATAATAGACAACACATGGTTTATGCTATAACAAGTACAATCATGTTAGAGGATATAAACTTTTATGAAATTTAATTCAAGAATTACCTCTTGAAACGTGAGCAAATACCTTCAAGTGAATCCACAAGCTAGTCCACAAGCTAGAACCTCTAAGCGAATTCACAAACTGGACCACAGTTCTTCGGTCTTCTACAGTGATCCCAAGTTTACTCCCTAACTCTCTCAATACTTAGGTGGACAAGTATTTTATAGAACACTTCATGTTTTCAAGTGTTAGAAGAATCCTTATTTATAGAGATTTCTTCCTAGTCCAGGGAGGAGAAGGAATACCATGTCTTTATTTACAATAGAAAAAGACATGTACATCTCCCTTTCCTTAGAATAGAATAAGTCATGTCCTTAATTCTCCCTTTCTTTAGAATAGAAAAAGTGATATACTTCTCCTTTGCCTTAGAATAGTGAAAGACACATACTTCTCCGTTTCCTTAGAATAGAGAAAGACACATACTTCTCCCTTTTCCCTTTAGAATAGACTGTGAGTTCTAGTTAAATATGGGCACGGTAGGGACCACAAAATTAATTACTGAGACTTCCTATTATGGAAATAATTCCAAATAATTAATTTGAATTATTCTTCCCATAATAAGTTACAAATCATTCCACTAGAAATTCATAATTGTACTCCTCCATTTATATTTCGAAATTCCCCATTAAACACATATGTAATTCCCCATGTTAAGATTACCGATACTAATCAATAAATTAAATTACTAACGAACTTAATTCAATGATCAATTTCCTTTAGAGCACTGCTTAACATATTTCATGTGCCGAATTCATTAATCCATTTGCAAGGTTTGACACAATGAAAACTTTTAAGCTTCTCAAAAAGGCATATCATCAATCTCTATATCAAGACATGAATTCCGTCAACTAACTTATTATTTCACCAATATATATTATCATCATCCAATCTACCAGGTATATTGACCCATCTTAGAATCTCACCTTTTAATATATCAAAACGATAATTAACATATACGGATCATAATAGTTATATCAAGATTAAGAATATAAGTACATTTAATAGTTTAAAGAATATGTTTTTGTCAGTCAGTCTAAAGCAACTATCTCTACTCGGTCCCGTTCAATACATACAAAATGCACTAGTACAAGAAGTTGGAACTATACCATTCCCATAATCAAGATAAATTACATATAATCTTGTGCTACAATCATACCAATGGCATGTCCAATTCTCATCTTAGATTGTGAACAAAAAAATTTATACTTATAAGAACCGATGATTTAATCCTCTGTGTATTATAAGCTTAAACTCTACACACTAAATCATCTATTATATAAGTAAACAAACACCATAAACGACTATATGATCTATTAAAAATGAATAAATAATTATTCTATAATAAATATTATATCTAAACACATGGTTAATAGTATATATTCCAACAATATGTCAGGACATCCAGGGAAAGAGTTGTAGCATTGGGCTTGTCACTTGAAATAAAACATAGCCTACTTCCATTAGTAGGCAAATTACTTCGACTACACCTAATGTAACGACCCGTTAGTTCGACTACGCCTAATGTAACAACCCTTTAGGTCGTTTTCAACACTAGGATTTCTTTATTTCATAATGGACTCTTTAAATGAAAATATTTGAACTATTTGGTAACTATGATTGTTTAATTGACAGATAATTTTAGAGAATTAATTTAATTGATGATTAGTGGGCTAAGTTAATAATTTATTTAACACCCTATGCCACTTAGTCATGAATAAAAGTGAATTAAACTATGTGGAGTTAAATATATGGGTCACAACCGAAGAAAAAAAAAGGGGGAACGTGCGGCTTCTATCGAAAGAGAGAGAAAAGCTCACTTTAATGTAATCAAACCCCTTTTAGGGTAAGTTTTATATTGGGTTGGATGATATTATTAGTAGTATATGTAATGGTGGAAGTTTGAAAAAAATAGTTGTCATCAATTGGTTGGGTTGAACAGAAAGTGTAATTGAATTGAAATTGGTTGTTGATTCGACATGGGTCCCTGGATATGGTGTGACTATTTTGTTTAATGGTTAATTTTATATGATGACTAATTATAATAGATATTCAGTGATATAGGGCGTAGGGATTTGATGTTTGGAGATCGCGGTCTTTCAGTGAATAGTTCGAAATTTGACTTACTTTTCTTATTATTGTCACATTATGATTTATGATTTGGTATATTTATATAGGTAAGTAAATGTTAGGTATATTGTATTACATGAATAGTAACAAATTTGTAATGTTTAGAGGAATTGAGATTTAACGTTAGGCTTATAGTTTAACAATATGAGACTTTGCATATTAGTTGACACTAAGATTTATGAATTTAATTATAGATTTGGGTGAGTTTTGGGTCTAGGCTAGACATATAGTAATATGAGTGTTTATGGACTCATTTGCTTATGAACATTGTATATTTGATATATTGGGAATGTTTTGAAACTTTACAAAAGGGAAAGGAAAAATTTTGAAGATTCATGACACTTATTTAGCATTCGAGGTGTGTTAAAACTTTCAGACTTTGTTGAATAAAGTTTTTCTAATAAAAGATTAAAAATAGAATAGACAATGGGTGAGGGAGAAAGATGAGAGTCTCGTACCAATGGTGTGATGGGCATTGGTATGAGTATCGGTGTTATAAATGTAAATTTATTATTATAGAATGATGGATTGTAATCAAAGAATGTCAAAGCATAAGAGCATTAGTTGATATATTAATGACTTAGTTTCTTTTGTGTAGTTGTGTTTCTAATTGAACCCACATATTTATGATAGTTAAGGTGATTATATGTCATATCGATAATTGATTGATTGAGGTGTATCATCATCCCCTTTTATTGATATTATATTATACATATACATTGACATGAGATTGAGTATGTGTAAATGTCTAACACGTGGATATCGATCGTGTTGAGATCGATTTGTGATTATAAGTTGGGCACATAGAGATTGTTAATTATTTGATTTTATGATAGTGTATTGAGATTATCCGCACAAACATGTGAAGATCGTTTGTGTCAGTGTATGGACCTCAGATGTCTCCCATGAGTCACGAACTTTTAATGTATTTCCGAGAAGTATCATGTATATACGATTGAGAGAGTACTTGACATTTGAGGCGTATCATTTCATGGTGTTGCATTTGAAAGTCAAGTGTTCAATCTATCTCATAGATGTGAACTTGTGAAGGAGTTTAAGGGACAGAGATAACCAAAAATAGTAATATCCAATATCAATAGAAACACTAAAAATTAATCGATGTAAAACCAAAGAAAGATGTCCTTTTCAAATGGTAAAGCTTACGTTAGGTAAAATAACTACTTCGTTTAACAAAAAGGACATACTTTTCTTGGTGTGTTTCAAAAAAATGATTTTCTTTTCTAGTTATACTTTAAACTCAGCTTTCTACATGCGTATCACACATGTTTAAGATTTAAGAATATTTTAATACATTTAATATAATTTTAATTTAAAATTACAACATTTAGTTAAAATACATCATTCTTTTTTAAAAGAAAATTAAAAACAAAAAATATTTTTTGCTATTTAAATCATAGGATACATGAATAGTTTCCTTAAATTTTTTCTATTTAAAATAAAATCTTGTTATGTATTGTAATAAAAAAAAAAATCGTATGCTTTCTTCCTTTTGGTTCTAAAAAATAAAAGGATGTGCATGCTAGTGAGTAGTGATGTACGGTACTAACTAAGCTTTTTTTTAGAGACTTCCACGTACACCCTTACACACGTAGAAACTATTACACGTGTCAACTGCTAGGATATGAGAAAATCTCACAAAACAAAATTCATCAATTTCCTTGTCTCTCTTGTAAGGTAAAAAAAACATAGTCTGCAATTGCTGGCCCCTCTTCTGCTACTGTGAGTTCAATTTTCCTCTATTATTCAAAGCATTCAAACTTCCTTTTATTCAAATCCACAACGCTTTACTCTTAATGATTCTTTTTTCTCTAATTAATTATTGCTATGTTTTTTTTCTTCTTTTGGTTAGAAATGGAATATTTGTTGCGTTTACAATTTTCAACATGTGTCAGTTGGATGGTTTTCATATTCTGTTTACTTTAATTGAATCACTAAGTAGAATCTATATCATTATCATAATTAATTGCAGAAAAGAAAGTAACAATATCCATCTTTTTTCTCATATAAAAGATAGTTTTGAATGATTTGCTGATGCAAAATAATGGAATTTGCTATTGTTTGATGACACAATTCACTCTGGTTTCAGATTCAATTCCCTACACCAAGCACAGGTGTTAAGACATGCAATTTTGTTTAATAACATGAACTACATCAAAAACTCGTCTTTAGAAGCAATTAATTACTGCACAATTAGCAGTTTTTTAAATAATTTTAAAGTATATAGCGACATTGAATCTGATAATAATTAATAAAGACATTAACACTCCTTATTAAATGTTCTTCAAACCTATAGCATCCGATAACTATTAACTAAGGTTAGTGAAAGCTTTAGCCCTCTTTGGTAACATGCATATTTGTTGCCCCTAAGAAAACAACTTCAGAGGAAAAAATAATCTTTGCCCATCATCAGTACAAATTACTTGCCGTTTATTTTTGGATCCCATCAATGCATGTTTATAAGTAAATAGCTAATAGATTAAAGCTACTTGCAATCAACTATACATAGTAATTTTTTTTAATCACATAAAGATTAAAAGATTTTTATGTTTTGGATTACAGGTAAAAAAAATTAGGAAAATTATAATCTGAAGGCAATTAAAATGTCAGGGGTAACCTTAGCTACGGGTCCAGATGAGACGACATCTTCAGCAAGAAAGCCTGAGCGACAACAAGGTGTAATGGGATCACTTCGAGTAATTGAGCTACAATTAGTAGCTTTCATTATGGTTTTCTCCGCTAGTGGTCTTGTACCATTACTTGATCTAATTTTCCCAGCACTTGCATCCGCATATCTTTTGCTTCTTTCGCGATTTGCGTTTCCATCACTTGGCACAACTACTTCTAGTTCCCACGAGATATTATTTCAGGGCAGTCGGTTTTTCCGTCTTTATATGGTTGCTGGTACTAGTGTTGGATTGTTCTTGCCATTGGCATATGTTTTGGGTGGATTTGCTAGGGGTGATCAACATGCGGTTCGCTCTGCCACTCCTCATTTGTTCTTGCTTTCTTTTCAAATTCTAACTGAGAATATTATAAGTGGATTGTCCCTCTTTTCTCCGCCGATTAGAGCACTTGTTCCCCTGGTTTATACAGTTAGAAGGATCGTTGTCTTGATTGATTGGATACAAGATGTGTGGATCAACAAGACTTTACCCCCAAATGCACAATTCAAGGTACTCCATCTATAATGCCTTGCATATAGGTATCAAATTAACGGATTTGTTCGCGGATGTGTTTTTGGTTTAAAAATTGATTGATTGTATCAAATCTTTTAGAAACTAATTCCATGAAATATTTGTAACTAAAGTACTTTATTATTATTATTATTATTTATTGTTTTCAGGATGTGACATGGTACTGGTTTGGGAAGGGACTGGCAGTGGCTAATCTGGCGTATTTTTCGATCAATCTGTTTGGTTTCTTGATTCCGCAATTTCTTCCACGGGCTTTCGAGAGGTACTTCAGGGAGAGGAGTGAGGTTAATTCGAAGTTGGCTGAAGATAAGCACTCACAAGCTATGAACAGAACAAAACACGCAGACAAGAAGGCAGAGTAATTGGCCAAAATGTATGTCTAGCAGTTTTTGTTTTTTTTTTTTTAATTTGGGAAAATGCATAACTACTCCCGTCTATACCCAAAATCGCAGAGACACACCTAACCTTTACTAAGGTCATATTACCCCCGAACTTATTTTATATGTAATATTCTACTCCTTTTTGGCCTACGTGGCACTATCTTGTGGGCCCAGCGCATGTTGACATTTTTTTCAAGGATAGTGCCACGTAAGCCAAAAAGGTGTAGAATATTATAGATAAATTAAGTTCGGGGGTAATAGGACCTTAGTAAAGGTTATGTGTGTCTCTGGGATTTCGAGCATAGGCTGGGGGTACTTATGAATTTTCCCTTTTTATTTCACTACAATAAGCTGAATGGACTTGTTTTCGTTTTTAGCTGGTTAGCGTAAGAGCGTTTGTTGAGGATCTTACATCGTAGGAACTTAGAAACGTATTTTGTTGTATTTGGATGTGAATTTTTATAGATTCGTTAGAACAATAAATTTTTTATGTAAATCGTGTGAAGTGAGTAATATTTTTTTAATGTGCGTCAAGAAACATTAAATGAGGGGCACATTGTAATGTTTAAAATCAATTCCTTTGAAGTTATCAACAGTAAATCAATTTCATTGAAGCTATTATCGATAATTTTTAAACTTTGTTTTGTAGTTAACACACTTCTAATAAAGTTATAAATGACTAACTTGAGACAAATATCAATACAGACTGACGATAATATGTCTCGACCTATTGATTCGTAAGACTTTATTCATATAATCTATAAATAGAAAATAAATATAGAATCAATAAGTTATCCATATTCGAAATTCGAAATCTACAAGTTTAAAGAGGAAAAACAAAAGGCACAAACCATGAGAGGGAAGTAATTGCACTAACAAATTTTATAATTTGCAAATTATGTATAACGAAGTATGCATCATATTTTCTCCAGAATTAGATAATACTTATTACATACTTATTTCTGATAAAAGTAGAACAAAATTTACCAGCAATGCAAGACATCATATTCATTGCTTCACACACCATTATATATATGGAACATGCTTTGCATATATATTTTCAGCTTAATTTGTATAATAAAATAATAAATCAAAAATGTATTTTAAAATATATGTCACTTGAGAAAATATTTGTTGTTAAGATACGAAGACACCATTTAAAATTTGTGAATTTAAAATTTGAACTTGTATGTGTTTACTGTAAGGGAAAATGCATATGTACCCCCAACCTATGCCCGAAATCCCAAAAACACACTTATATTATACTAAAGTCCTATTACCTCCCACCAAACTTATTTTATAAATAATTTTCTACCTCTTTTCAACCTACATGGCACTATCTTTTGGGGCCCAACGCGTGTTGACTCTTTTTTCAAGCTATCTAGTTGATAGTGCCACGTAGGCCGAAAAGGGATAGAAAATTATTTATAAAATAAGTTCGAAGGTAATAGGACCTTAGTATAGTATAAGTGTGTCTCTGGGATTTCGGGCATAAGTTGGGGGTATTTATGCATTTTCCCTTACTGTAATTCATTACTTTAGTTATTTATTTGCTGAATAGAAATAAATTTGAAAAAGTGGACAAACACAGTCATCATCTAGCAATAAATACGTGAAGAAAATCAATATTAGATAACCCATAATGGTATATAGAAATATGCCGATTGAATTTTATACTCTAGATTACTGTAAATGCATGTAAATACCTCTAACTCTAAATATTAAATTAACTAAGAGAATTGAAATTTAAAGACAAAAGAAATTTTAAAAATTATCAATAACTGATCAAACAGGATGAATAAGCATATTTCTCGACAAAACTAGCTAACAAAGAAAAATAGATGTACATTTATTAATTCAGCCCAAACGTTACATTTATCAATTCAGTCCAAACACTTAAATTTGTTGTCTGATTTATAGCTATTTCTTTTATAATAATAACATATCTCGTAAAATTCGTCTAGAGAGTGTAGGGTGTGCAAAGACCTTACATCAATTCAAAAGACCCTCAACTTGAGTCGAGTATAGCAAATCAGAGTAAATATGAAAAAGAAAAATGACGGCCAAGAGAATATAATATAATATAACAACTATTACGAAAACAGTAACAAAAAAAAGAAGTGCAATAACCAAAACATCATAAAAACAATTGGTGGTAGAAAGCAAAAGGAAGATAGTACAAGAATAAAAGTACTACTATGACAGACACCACTAAGCCTAAACCCTTCGGAAAGCAAGATAACTCTCCACTACAATCTTCTACCTTAATCGACGATCTCCATGCTTAAGCATTTTCTGTAATTGATGAAATCAGATTCTTTTTTCTTATGAGCTTTGAAAGGCGAATTAGCTTAGGTATTTGCCAATAATAAGTTTACCTCATGCACATGGTATTTATAAGACAAAAATTTGCGTAGAATTCTGTAGAAAGCTCAAAAGTTATGTTGGAGAATGGAGAGACATAGAGTTTGCCTAGAATTCTGTAGAAAGCTCAAAAGCTATGTTGGAGAATGGAGGGACATTCTTAAAATTCCTTTTAAAACACATTTTCATTTTTAGTATTTAATATAATATAATATGATATAATTATTATAATTGCTTAGATATTTTATAACATTTTAAATTAAGATAGGGGCAAAATAGTATTTCAACTTTTACTTTTGTGGCTTCCCACTTTTAGTATAATACTAGTTTCACAACACGTGTGTATCATATCATATAGTATACGATGTTGTAAAATTAAATTAATATTACTAAATTAAACTCTAGTAAATGATTATAATTGAAAGAACATAGAAAAAGTACTTTTAAATGATTAGTATAGATTGTCATAGAATTACTTGCTTTTTGAGATCAAAATGACCAGATATCATGGAAACATTTTCAAATTCACTCAAAGTTAAAATATCGGGAGAAAGTGACATTTCTTTAGTAGTATTTTTCCACATTTCTCGGTTCTTTTTTTTCTAATTTAATAGAAAGCAAATACCTAAATTTTCATGCTATGAACTTCGGCGAACCATATCAACAGATTGAGGATTAATCATTTATGAAATTTTTTAATAATCTCAAATTGTCGCACAAAAGAAATCCCCAAGAATTTATAAGAAGTGAATGGTTGTGATTAATAACCGGAGAAACATGAAGGTTGAAATTGTTATGACTTATTTGTAGCAAAATAAGTGTTTTTTAATAAATAAAATATGTAGGTTAACTAAAAGGGTATAAATTTTCTAAAATGATATAAATAATATTGAAGTATGTACGTGATGAAAATCGTAATAGAAAATTACGAGTGTGAATTGATGAATGAGTTTTTACGATTTGTTCACCAACTCTTTCTTATGTGGTACCTCAAATTTCATTGAATTTTGACCTTAATCAAGTGTCGCATATATCATTTGAGATTTTTTAAGAAGAAGAAGAGTAGAAAACTTTAAAAATCATAGATTAAAAGTTAGAGGAAACACCCTCTATTTATAGCTAAAAAATAGTAGTATGAATCAGTGCCTTATTAGAAAAGTCACAATCTTTCGAAAAATTCACTGCTCATCAGAAAAGTCACAATCCTTTGAAAAATTCACAACTCATCGGAAAAGGCACAACCCTTTGGAAAATACACAACCCTTTGAAAAATCACAACCCTTCTAAAAAGTCGCAACACATCGGAAATGTCACAACCCCTCAAAAAAGTCGCAATCCTTCGAAAAAGTCACAACTCTATAATGTGAAAAGTTATCTACTTTTAATATAATAAAATTAATTAAATAAATATATTAAATAATTTGAATATTTTTATTTGGGGATATTATAGTAATTCAACATTGAAGTTTGGAAGTTCATGTTAGATAGATAGATAGATAGATAGATAGATAGATAGATAGATACATAGATACATAGATACATAGATACATAGATAGAAGTATAGAAGTATAGATGATGTGTAAGGGTGCCACAACAACAAAAAGGAAGAGCGAGGAACTTCAGTTAACTGTTAATTTGCAGCCATACTAAAGATATTAGACTCAAAGTTGGAAGTAACGGGTTGACTTTCGTCATCATTTGCTATACTCGATCCAAGTATTGATAACAGACTGCGTTGGTTATTTGGTACGATGTATTACAAAAAGATTATAATGTTATGTAAGTCTTAAAAGAGAAATAATGTAGAAATTTATTTCCGAATGAGCAAATAAGGGATATTAGATGCTCATATTTCTGCTGCTGGCGATATAAAGATGCAGGATGCTCCAGTAGTAGATCAGTATACTCATGTAGTGGTTCAGGGTGTTCTTGTAGCGGTACAAGATACTCGTATAGCAGCTCGGATTTCTCCTATAGAACTTAAACAGCCAGTTGACTCAAATGCAATAATTGATACATTTTATAATGATTGTATTTTCTGACCACAATGGTGGAGAGAGTGTCATATGTTCTGAGGATTATGTAGATAAAGATTCTCTCTGCATTCTCCCTTGCGAGCATGTATATCACCATGATAACATCAGTGGATGGTGGTCAATTGGAGTTAATCAGTGCCCGAAATGTCACCATGATTATTACAATTTAGGTCTCTAGTATAGATACTATATAAAAACAATTAGTGCATGCAACATGTCTTATTTTAGGCTACAACAAGTACATCAAAGTAAGTTGTTGATTCCCACTTTATCTGCAGTCATATAGGATTTGTATATATGCAAATCATGTGCATTTTTTAAAATTTATTAAAGACGTGCAAATTATGTGCATTTTAAAGATAGGATTTGCACGTTGATTTAAAAATGTCCGTTAATTAACAAAATAATAAGCAAATAAGAACGATCAAAACAAAATATTTTGAATATGAATTTTTATATATCATGGTTTTTAAATTTTTTGTATATATTTCAAAACTTCCATTCTCAATAATATAATGCTACTTTGACACACAAGTAGACATTATTTCAAAATATTATGTGTATTTTTAATTTTTCTTCTTTCTCATCATCCATTTATGGGCCA